GAAGTTAATAAATAAGTAAATAAATATTTTTCAATTAGCACATCTATTAATTTAATTGGAATTATTTCATGTAAATGCGTTCATTAATTATGCTATTTAATATTTGAACCTCCGTGTACGTTCGTGTCAATAGGAAGATGACAATTTGGGTTAGGAGGAAGATAGGCATGTATGTATTGGCCATATATACAGTTATAAGTTCAATAAAACAAGAAGTAATCATACTGAGTAACCATCATTATAGTTCAGTTATAAAAATAGCTTACAACTAGAGGGCAAATTTGCAGACATTATGAAATACATAGCACAACTATAGAGCAACTTGATATAAGATAGCATACAATCGGGACACTCATCCAACACTGTATAATTTTAATTAGGCTGAAATTTTTTTTATTATTCTTTAAAAATCAGAATCTGACAGACGCAAAAACTGTTACAACATGCAGGGCAATAGTACAAAATGATAACCAATAAAAAATATTTATGTCTATATAGACAGACTAATTGGAGAGAGACAAGTTAGAGACTAGAAGTTAGACAAGAGAGACAAGAAACGAGGTCTCCTTATGTATAAAATGAGAGAAAACATTAACGTTTCTAGTTCAATTTCAATTATTAAATTTTACAACATTTTAAATGCTCAATAAAGTAATTCACCAATTAAATATTCGCCTATTATTACTTTATATAAATGAACAATTGTCAGTTATATAATAACGATGAGGCGAGCAAGTTCATGGAGACAGAAAGAGATTTTCCGAGATCAATCTATGCCGTTCAGTGTTCATCCAACAGACTTCGTAGCATGGCGAGGAACGGACAATGTAAAATTGAACTTGCTTATAAAAATGACCATTCGTTCGTTCGTTCGTTCATTCATTCATTCATTTATTCATTTATTCATTTATTCATTTATTCATTTATTCATTTATTCATTTATTCATTTATTCATTTATTCATTCACTCATTCATTCATCCATATATTCAATTATTTGTGTTATTCGAAAAAAGCTTGTCAGCAGGTTTTAGTGAGGGACGAGTCGGAAGAGTATGCTGGACATTTGGTGGAAGAATACTGAGACTGGATGATGATGAGAATGATGATAATGATGATGTGCTGATGATGATGATGATGACGATGTCACTGTTAATAACAATATTGATGATGGTGAGGTTGATGATGAGGAGGATGAGGATGATGATGAGGAGGAGGAATGCGAGGATGGTAGGGTGAGGGTATTTTCGTTTGTGTTGTTGATGGTGCTGGCAATTACGACGACGATGATGGTGATAATGGATTTTAATGAGGATGAAGAGGAGAATGATGAATGGCGACGATGACACGTTGCAGAGACAACTCCACTACATACTTTATGCCGGCAATTCCGCAAAATGTCGTCTAGGCAACCAGAGTGTGTCTGCTAATACGGAAGCACCATCATGTTTATTGACATGTCAACCGCGCACTTGTTGCTACAGCAACGACCTGTTTGCTGCTACGACAACGACAAACACGTGCTGTTGGATTTGGAATTGAGAAGATGTTTACTCTTTTCCTGTTCTTTTTCTCTAATTTCGTCCGTCTTTATTCAATAATAATAAAATTGAGATTTTGGAAAAATGATTATTGTTATCATTCAATTAACTTGATGATTTTTTGAAGCATTGTTAAATATTAGTTTTATTTTGCTTTTTTAACATTAATTTCAATTTCGCTTTTTATAAAATTCAGTTTTATCTATAGATAATTTATAATTTTCGAGCTTGGATGTTAATTAAGAGCCATTGTTTGGTACATAATCAAGTTCCCTTGTGCTGTCTTCATTAATTAATTAATTAATCAATTAATTAATTAATTAATGGTTGAAAATATGGAAGATATTAATTTTGTCCATGGCATTAATAATTTGTAACAGTCCATTTCTTACACAAACATTTCAATAAAGAAAAAAATTAATTTTATTGTTCATTCATTTAGATTGGTGAATCCATTAAAGATAATTCACCAATCAATGTAACGCAAAAATTTTATCGGCAACAAAGTATACCATAAAAACATTTCCCAATGATTTTTTTTGTGTTTTTTTGTATTTTTACACGACCGCCACAGTTGCTTGACAGCAGGCAGGTTCAAACATCTTACCATCGCGTACGGTATTGATTCCATTTACGCTTTCTTACATTAGCCACGATTTCAACAAAAATAACACCTGCAACAACAAAACGCCCACGTTATCACCAACACTGACAACAATATCGGCTGCTGCTATACAACTACAGCCAAAATAAACAAAAAAAATGTTGGCTTTTTTTAAACAGCTTTGGTGCTCGCTGTTGCACATTTGTCCACATGTGTCATAATTGTATATGGAAAGAAAAATATACAAATGTACATTTTCACATTCGTTGAAGAAATAATTAATCACTGACCAGGAAAATGTTGGTTTTCAATTTCACTTGAAGTCAACGCTCACTCTTGCGTTAATTATTTTCAAAAAATTTCAATTTTTCTTCTCCCCGATTCTATCTCCATATCAACAGCTTCAATTACTCGCAACGTATGAGGAAACCTTAATAATTAACGTCCTTGGAATAGAGAGGAGAAAGAGATATAATATATGCACTGCAAGTTTTAACATCCATCCATCTACTCACGTGCCTGTGTTACATGAACAAATTTTTATTGTTGAAAAGCACGAGGGGTGCACGGTACATGTAGCCCTACATGGAACCAATGCATGGTATACGACATGTATTGTAATTTGTTGTCGTTCAATTTGACGTCAATGGAGAAGGAGTTCGCATGGAGTAGCAATCCACATCTCCGCTGGTCAAAAAACTCGCAGAGTTATTTTCGTAGGTGTGTCTTAAACATCCAATTCTACACACAAAAATTGATGTTGCGCTGCTCAATACGAGAATGTTCCTGTTGTGAATATAAAATGAAATGTTCTATTATGCTGATTTAGTGTGCAATGCATTGTTTACTCTTGGTATAAATAACAAAATTCATTAAATTTATACGTCCCGTAGCTCTTAATGTCTTCTCATCTCATCTATGTGCAATGCAGGATGTTTTGATGCGACACCCACACACACTCGCGTTTATTTCGTTTCATAAACAGTGCGTGATTCTTTCAGGCAGATAAACATATAAAAGCATGTTAGAAAAAATTATAAAATACAAAACTCTTTTGTGCGGAAATAATTTGTTGCTGCAGTGTTTTTTTTTAATTTGAAAGCTTTATAAATTAGCAACTTTATTCATTTCAATGGAGGAAACCGGAAAATTTTGGATTTGTATAATGGTGTGGTGATTTGTGTGTTCTATCCACTGCATTTTAATCATTTCAAGAAAATGTACAAGTTTCTTTTCTCTTGAGAAGATTTCAAAGAAGATTCTCGCGCTAAAACACTTCCACAATTATCAAATTCAAATTTCATAAAGTTTTTTGTTGAATAAGTACCTTGACTGGAATCGCAACTAAAAATAAATTAAATTACTCAATAGGGTCACTTTATCAAAAAAATAACTAATGATTTTTTTCTACCGAAACCCACTTGAATACTTTCTTCACTTTCACATTTGAAATAATTTTTTCAAATAATTCCTCCCTAGCCTCTTATTTTCAATCAGGAGGAGTTGCCTCGAAGCATCTGATTTTCTTGAGTTGATATCTCTTAATCCAGTAATACTGATAGTTAAAACATGGTTTTTTGCGGTGATTTCTTACTCTTTTTTTTATCTACGTGTCCAACAAAGTGCAATCAACCTTTCACTGCGATTTATTAAAATTAAATAATAATTATTGTTTATAAGGGTATGTAATTTATAGTACAATCAAATTATTTTTCACGATTCTGATACAGAATCGTGTCTGTATAAATAAAATAATAAAATGTCAAATTTGACAAAATAGTATTTATGTCCTTGTTTAAAATTGAAGATCTAGTCAAACAACAACGCTGATGTGATGAGTTCATTCGAATCGACCACGCGCCACGCCACGCCACATACGGCTACTTGAAATCGTGTAACTGTACTTGCTCTGGAACATAATTGAGTACATTTGCATGTTAATTCTGAATGTTGTTCCAGTTAAAATTAGATTTCGTGTAGCTGTACATGAGAGTCACACTGAATACTTATTCAAAGTTTGATACTTGGCTCGTGTTGCTCTTATCTCTCTCATAATTCAGCCCATGACAGGTTGTCGGGCTAGTAAATGTTTTGTTTGCTTATATTGCTTGTTTATTTTTTGTTGTTTTTTTTTATTGAATGATTTAAAATTAAAATGTTGAACTACTTTTGCCAATAAACAAACGTTCCCACATTACGGTTCATATATTGGAATGAAATAATTTGAACCAAAAAATATTTGTTTCAACACCAATGACCACAGGGAATTGTTTGAAATCAGTAAGATAAAAAGTTGGAAAACTTGGTCAAGTTAATTAGGTTGTAATATAAAAATGTAAAATTGTAAAGATAGAAATAAGAACATTTGCACTGTTTAAATTTATTTGCTGATTTCCAGGTGGAAAATTAATACAGAGAGAAAGAGAGAGAAAGAGAAAGAGTAATACATAACGTACAGATAGTGTATATAATTGCATGGACGTTTAATGTATGGAAGTTGAATGCAGCAGCCCGTATTAGCAGTAGAATGTGCGTGCGTGTGTGCGTGCGTGTTGGGGCATGTCGTATTAATATAAACAAACAAGAAAATAAATTCAGAAGTATCATAACAAGTTCTAAAATATCATTATCATCGTTATCATCATATTAAACATCCTCAATGAAATTCGCACATTAAAAAGATAGTATATCTCAGCAGCCATACGCTGATAGTAACAACGCTTTAGATAAACACTCAGCCAATCGACCAGACATATGACACCAAAAAGCAAACATCAACAACAACAACAATATTAAAGATGACAGCAGCAACAACAACATTAACAACAACAAAATCATCAACAGCAACAACTATAGTATGGCCCACAATAGCGTCAACGATACAAACAATGTAACTTCAGCGCATGGATATTCAAATTCAAAAAATATTTTATTTGTCAAAAACAGAAGCAGATATTACCACAACAATAGCAAAAACCACATGAACCACAGCATCAACAACAACAGCCACAGCAACCACAGCAACAACAACCACAGCCACATCAACCACAGCAACAACAACTACAGCAATCACAGCAACAACATTCACAGCAACCGCAGTCTCAGCAATCACAGCAACAACAATCACAGCAGCTACAACACCAACAACAGCGGCAACACCAAATGCCATCGTATCATTCCTCAGTTTATGTGTCCAGTGACAATGCATGCATTAATGCGCCGACCACCTTGCTTCAATATATTTCAAATGCACGGTACATCAATGTACATCAACATAAACAAAAGCAGTATATATGCCATGCCATGAAAACCTTAATACCCTACAAACAACATAAAACAGATCGGCATGCACAAAATAATATTCGGAACACCATAATAAAGCAAAATATAAAAACCAGTTATTAAAGCTAAAATTCAAACATTGTCGAAATATTTCATCACATCACATTTTAACTGAACTTCACAGAAAATGTAACCTAGGTAGGTAGGTAGGTAGGTAAGTAGGTAAGTAGGTAGGTAGGTAGGTAGGTGTTTTATTGAACGTGCTGTTATAACTACGCAGTACATTGCAGGCAGGCAGGCAGTCAGTCAGGCAGATAGATAGATACCTATTAGGAAGATAATGGGGTTCATGTAGGTTGAGAACAACAAGCCGTGTTACGTAACAAAGTGGCGTACGTACAAAGCCATTATGCTGATATTTTTTAGGTAGTTTTCTTAATTATTTTTTTGGTGCATTTAAAAGTAGAAGGTACGCATTCAGATTGTCACCGTGTACAAAAGTTATATAAAGATAGGATTGATAATGGATTAACAAAGTGACAACCGTCACGTTTTCATTTTTCTGTATTTTATATTTTTGAATATATCAAATGAAATTAGTCTCAAAGCAAGCCTAATGCATTAACTTACTGGATCAATAATGATACAATATTATTTACATATTTATAATATAATTTACATATTTATTTTGTATCATTTTTTAAATGTTTTAAAGCAAATAAGTTAACCGTAGTAATTCGCAGATCACACTGGGATTACGATTGCACACAACCCAGCAACAACACAGCGCAACTGCACACAGCAACAACACAACACGGCAACAACACAAGTGCACACAACACAACACAGCAACAACACAAAACAACACATGACCGTGTTACAACAGTTCTTGCTTCGTTTTTAATATTCCTATAGAGCTGCATGCCTTCATCCCACCGTATTACTCCTTCCAACGTCCGTGCCCGGAATTCAATTTGAAAGAAAAATTTACACAATAAACCAAACTAAAGCCCACCAACAAAGTTACACGTCCGACGATTTACACGTCATTTCTTTGCACAGTGTAACGTTTCAACATCAGCCGGAGTTTTTTAAATTGTGTACAAACCGATCGTAAAGTGATTGTATTTCTTGTATTAAGTAAGCTTGATGAGTCAAGAACATCTCCAACAAATCTTTTAACTTACAGAGCAGAATGACCAACATTAGAATGAATATCTTTAATCAAAATGTGTGCTGAAAGAATTCATCATTATTTTTCGAGACTATCACCAGCCAATCAGACAAAAAAATTATTAAATTCGTCAGAACACCAAGCGCTTTGGTGAAAAAAATAAGAAATAGGATATAAACAAATATAAAAGGCGCGATTAGCAGCAAATGGAAATGAGCAGCTAGTCACGAGTGGATTGAACGTAGCTTAAGCCGTTCAGCTCTGGAGGGTATATAAATCAGATGTACCGGCTTCTATGAGGCCTACAAATTATCTACAAACAACTTTGCGAGCACTTTCAATTGTTTTATTTATAAATAGTAGTAAAACTTTATGGTATAACATAAAATAATATTCAATTCAACGGTAGACCATAACTGACCGATCAGACTTTCAAATTTATCTTCTGGACACGAACTATGCTGTAACACTTGGTACTATTTGTGGTGCTATGATAATATATCACATGTTAGGTACCTTCTTTATTTTTATATTTTGCAGAAAAATTAGTTTTATTTATATATATATAGAACTCTTTAAGACTGATCATATTTGTCAGGTCGCATTTTACATCATCGTTTGTTTCATCAATAGAAAGTGCTTTTTTCATACAAGTTTTGCTTTTATGCCAAATTTGATTAACCTACGTGCATTTTCAAAAATTTGTTCTTATAAGCCTTTTTCAATTATGCAGCGCTAGATTTTTAAATGAAACATTCTTCAGTTCTTCAGTAAATTTTCGGAAAAGATTGATTAGGTTTATGAATATTTTATATGAGTGATTGAGGTCTTCTAGAGCAGTGAGGTAAACGAATGTATTGATACACAAAAATTATGATACGTTCAGTTGTTTTCGCACCTACTTAATATACTTTGAAAAAATGTTTTTAACATTCCACACCTGGAGTTTATTTATTGGTAGTTTAATTGTCCGCCCGCCAACTTTTGTCACTCTGCTGCGAAAGTTTTACAATAGAATGAAAATTAAAAAATGTTAATGGGTGATGGGAAAAAAGCTTATTAACGCGTCAGTAAGAGTAAAGCAAGATTGCATCTTAGCATCAAATAATTTCAGTCGATAGTCTTCCATTACTGGGGGGTTTGTTTGGGGGTGGGCACTTGCCGAGGCCTTCTCCGCTTTCTTCACGCATATGAATACATAAGAATCGAAGCATGAGGCTAAATGTCAAAAAAAACTTTGAATTTTAGTGTGCTGTAATTATTATTTTTCAAGTTGTTTCGTATATTTTTTTGTTTTAAAAGCATCGCACTTAGTTTTTACTTTTTCGCTGCAAGCAATGGGACCCTTCACACACGTCCTCCTCCGTGTTACCTATTATCTTAACGCTGTGTTACGCTGTGTTACGCTATGTTAAAATTATTTTAAGCATCTTTGCATCTTTATTTCAATATTTGTACACGGAGTTATTTTTGGGCATATTCTGAAGCGTGCAACTCGGGGTGGCTTGAGTAAACAAAACTTAAAAACTACTAAGAAGGAGGGAATCAAAAAAGAGAAGTTGCATGCGAAACAAGTGAAAAAAATGAAACATCGAATAAAAGATAAAAAAAATTGATAAGATGGAGAGCGGGGAGTGGAAGAAGACAAGATAAAGAAATGAATGCGCGCACCCGTGGTGTATGGATAGGATTTGTTAAAGCTTTATTGTATTGAACATGTGCGTGCAAGTCCTGCTGTGCGCTCTGCCGGCAATCTGCGTGTATTGCTTCGTGCGCTCTTAAAAAGTCTTTTGTGTGCTCTGCTGCTGGGTGTATGTTTACAAGGATGAAAAAAGTTCTTTTACGTTTTAATGGAAAATATTTTGGCGATTTTGAACGTACATGTGAAAGTGTACGTTTATAAAATATGTGCTTGCGTGTGTATGCAAGTGTATGCGTGTGTGTGTTTGTATGCAGGTGTTTGTCTGTGTGTGTGTGCAAATGTGTGTGTGTATGCAAGTGTTTGCGTGTATATGCAAGTGTTTGTGTGTGTATGCAAGAGTTTGCCTGTGTATGCATGTGTGTGTGTGCCTATGTAAACGCGCTCAGCTCACGTCTATGTATGAACCAGTCAAAAATAGCACTGATTCTACTAACAGTCTCAAATCTGGTAACAATTTTATTTTATTGCCTCTTGGCTCTATGTGTGGGTGTGCGTGCGTGTATGTTGCTTGGTCTATGTATTGATTGACATTTATGTGTACTTGTGTGTGGTATAATATAATAGTATGTATTGTTGATTGTGAGCGTGAAATGTATATAGCTGACATGGAAAAGTAATATGGAGATGGAAATGAAATAGTGCGAACATTTATCGGGCGGCATACATAAGCAACGTGGAGGAGCTGATGGTCGTTAAGTATGGAATGGATCGATTGATTGACCTCACACCAACTGCTTGTTCCACTTTTTGCTTCCTCTAATGAGCAATCGTTGTGCTAAAATGTAGAATTATTTCAAAGTGTTTGGTTTCTGTAGCATTAAATTTTTGTAGGTAAGGTAAAATATATGACGGGAGATTATTAAGATTGATGTAGGCTCTGTTGAGATATTTTGTAACCTGCTTACATGCCTGCACATTTTTAATGCCTTGCTCACAGTTTATGAATTTTTAATCTCTTATAATCTCATGTTGCATAAATAATCTAATCCAGCTTAAGTGCTCTCAGGATAGCCCACAACGATGATTGAACCAGCAGTCATCGCAAGAATTGAACCGGCAGGTCGCCCACACTGCGGATGATCCACCCCATCTCATCAAGTTCACTTCAAGTTTCTCAAACTCTGTTACATAACACCAGTAAGTGGCGAAACATGTTATTAAGTTATTTTTTAAATCAAACAAACTGCAATTTGTGAAAAGTTTTTGGTAGAGTTCCTTCAAACGTTTTAAACCTGATGCGTTGCAGCAGTTGGTAAAGATGCTGGATGAAAAGATGGATGTGTAGCTGCCGATGCTGATCTATTGATTGTCGGTGTCATTACAATTTTTTATTGTTTTTTGTTTATTATTTTTTATTTTATTTAATTTTTTATTATTTATTTTACTCTTTTTATTGTTAGATATATTATTATTAGAGTTGAATTAGTTGTTGTTGTTGTCATTAAGTTTTTCTGCCACACAAGTATCGATCTTCAAGGTTCTGACATCATTTAATCTGTCTGGGGCGTCATCCATGATTCAACTGTTCTCCTCCTCGACATCCGATCTTCTCTTTCATCATATTTGCAAGATAATTATTAAAAATGAAAAAGTAAGAGCGAAACATTAATATTTTCTATTTTTATATTGTGAAATTTAAAAGTTTCGAGCAAACCCTTTTTATAGCTAGCTGGTCGGTGGGAAATATTTTGAAAATTGTAAATTCATCATCCTTAATGACAAAATAAATGATTTCCTACTTTCAACAAAAAAATGAATTCCATCTAATGTTAAGTGTACTTTAGTCTTTAAGTTGCCAAAAGATTTTGACACACACCACACACACCACACACACACACACACACACACACACACACGAACGCACATATACACATAAAGCATACAAGCGATTTCTCTAAAGAAACAACGCTTCATGTTTGTGGGTATCAAAATCGCGATTTCCTTGTTTTCGATCCAGGTTCTCACGACGCAAAACCTGAAACTCCAATGACCATTGACTCAAAATGCTGCCGTAAAAATAAATGGAAGAACTCACACACATACACAGCATAACGATGTATGCCAGAAAGATTAGACAGTACAAAGATCATCCGATTAATCACTTCTAATGTATCTTCTCGCCGCAAAATGTTTTAAGTTTTTATAAAAA